CATAGGCTTCAATGGGGCCCACAGCCGGCCGAACGAACGCAGTTTTTTACCTAAAATGCAACAAGATTGGACGTCTTTGGGCTTCGAGGACAGGACGACGACCAATAAAAGCCGTCAGCGAAAGTGAAGGGCCCACGAGTAGACAAAACCATTGTTTATTGATTGAGAGAATGGTAATTGGTAGGTTTTAAGGCTAATTGCGCTGTCCAGAGGCCCTGCGCTGTTTCTGAGGCCCTACATGTCCATTTGCGAGGTTTATCCTATTGGTAAAGAATTTCTGTGTTGCCCCTGATTTCTTTCGCATTTGCCTGGAGGGCCCCGCGCTGTTATTAAGGCCCTATCTGTTAACCTGCTCTGGCCCACTCGATCGTTCGGGGCGTGTTGCGGGCATTCCTTATTTGAATGGAGGCCCTACGCTCCTGTTGGGGTTCCCATCGGTTAACCTGATCAGGCACAGCCGATCATTCCTAGGCCTTCATATTGTAATTTGGGTGCCTCTTATTTGAATGGATAGTCATTTGTTCTTTTCGTGGCCCTATTTATCAAACTGCTCGCGACAGCGGAGGATTCAGAAGGGGGAGGGGTGCAAAACCATGCCCTTATGCCCCGAGGGGACCCCATAGGGCTCCGAACGGGTCCATCACCGGCCGAACGGACGCAGTTTTTTTACACAAAAAACACAACGCAGTATGACGTCTTTGGGCCTACCGACGACCTAGAACAATCACAGGCGAAAATGAAAAGGCCATCAGCAGACAAAATTAATTCTTCGCTGATTGATAGGATGGTGATTGGGAGGATATTTCAAGTCTTCTTCACGCTCTCCAGGGGCTCTGTGCTGTTGCCGGGACCCTATAGGTTCACTTGCCGGGTCGATCCGACAGCTAAGGAGCATTCCACGTTGCTATTTATATTTTCACATTTTCTCGTGGGGCGTTACGCTGCTGTCGGGGCACTATCTGCTAACATGTCTGGGCATTCTTGACCGATCAGGCGCCCTCCATGGATTCTTCCCATTCGCCCGAAAGGTTCTATAAGCTTTTGTCGGGGCTCCATATGCTGGGGTACGCTCAGTTGCTCAGCAGCCCTTCATATTAGTCTCAGGGTCTTTCCACTTCCTCGAAGGGTCTTGTGGTGTTCCTGGCACCCATATCAATTAATACACCGAGCCATTTAATGCTTAGGGGCTCTCTGTACTGATCTAGGACTGGTTACCTTTGGTCTCGTTTGCAGAGGACCCTTTACTCACATCGGGCCCTCTCCGTTAGCCTGCCCGGACGTTCTTGATCGCACAGGGACATTAATTCACATCGTTTGCGGAGGACCCTTTACTCACATCGGGCCCTCTCAGCCTGCTAAGACGTTCTTGATCGCACAGGGAAATTAATTCACATCGTTTGCGGAGGACCCTTTACTCACATCGGGCCCTCTCAGCCTGCCAAGACGTTCTTGATCGCACAGGGACATTAATTCACACACACTGGTATTGGGTAACTCCGCTTTGCACAAACAGCCCTTTGCTCTGGCCGTGGTCTACTGTCGGGCCGCCGGGGCACTCCTGTTTGTTCAGGAACCCACTACGGTGGTCTCGGGTTCTTCTCGCTTACTCTGAGGACCCCTTACTTGCTGACGGGAGCCTCTTCGCTGGCCTGCCACGGCACCCATGATTGCTCAGGTTTCGTCCCTACCGACCTTGGTGCCTTAGCCTTAGAGCAGCGTTCGGATATGCGTAATCAGCGTTTAAGCGCTTTTTCAAACATAATTTTACATGCCGCCGACGCCGTTTATGCCATTTTCATTGGTTGCCAAATTTGTGACACCTTTTATAATTGTGCATCACGTTCTTGATACACTTTAAATGCTAGGACATAATTTACTCCTTTACAACAAACAAAGCAAGGACTCTGCACTAGTCATCAGCCATTAGCTGATCGCATCGACCAGCCGGCCAGCCGTGAATAAACTGTGAATCACGTCCGTGCTTGATTTTCATAATATTTAGCAGCTAACCTTACTTTACTCAACCATATTTTTCCGAAAAACTTAGTCTTAAAATGACAGGATTTATCATGATCTGGATAAAATGAATAAGCCCTATCAACGTGCATACGTAGCACGCCCAGTTTTCTGGGCTGCGCACAGTGAGATGGATTCCCGTACAAAAGAAAAGATACCATGCTAAAAGTCTCAAAATTTCATGACCGAAATGCGAGGATTTTTTTCTAAGCGGTATCTCACTCTATGGGGTCACACAATGTTGCGTGCCCCCCCCCCCCCCCTCCCCCTTAAAGAAATCCTGGACCTGCCTTCGCAGTGAGCCGTGTTAATGTGCGCGAAAGGAGGCAAGTGGATCCTCACAGCAGCCCGTCCCTGCTTCTCAAAACTACATCTGCTGTACCTCCATGACTCGGAGATAATGGACACAGAATAAAACGGGAGCACATCGCGAGAACTAATTTGGGGCACATGTTGCCGACAATTTTAAGCGTTGCATTGCTACGAAGTCATTTTCCTGAATGATAGATGTAAGCTGTTAAAAGTGATGCGGCCGCGATTAACAACTGAGCAGCCAGACTTTTATAACGCAAGATAGAGTGACGTGAAATTGGCTCAATTGTCATGTGTTCTGTAAGAAGGCAAGCGCGGGGCTTCGCTTTTCTGAGCAGGCACCTTAATCCACTTGATCAACACCGGCCTCGTCTCTCGGGAGGGGACGAATTCGTTGATGTGCAGGCTCATATCCGCCTGTCGCGCAGTACGCAAAATTGAGTACATAATTGACGATGAAAAACACGCCATGACTGTTCCTGGCGTATAAAACAAATTTAAATTACTTATTTATAGGTTTACCGGGAGAAAAGGTTCTTGTGAGTGTGGCAAATAGTGTCCTGTAAGAGAGTGTGTGGGGCGGTTAATGTGGTCAACTGATCAGGGAACTTCTAGAGTGGGGAGAAACATATACACCGCAATGCGGGCTAACCACTACTTGTTAAGGTCATAGGCCAAACCAAGGGCGCCATGGTCTCATATTTCTGTATGAATTTACGGGCTCCCATCCAATTCAAGGTCTCCCTTTCTCAAATCCAGACTCCTGATAAGAAACAGGGTTCTCTCCATGCATAGAAAACACCCCGTTCCCGCTTGATTCATGTAAAGGGCTTCCATTCCGGAACAAGACCTCCTGATCCATCAATGGGGCATACCGAGCCAGCTAAGCGACCTTCTCATCGCAAGTCAGGGGCCTCCTGGTTTAGTGGAAAGGCTCCCTAGTTCATACAGGGGCCTCCTAATCAAGAAAATGGGTCTGCTTGTGCAGAAGCGGGCCCTGAGACCCGTCCATTTCATTCCAAAAAGACCGCGGCCAGGCCAGCCACGGTTCCTTGAGCAACCCGTATCTGAACCTCCAGAGGACGGTATCGTCAATGCGATTATTTCTACGGGCTTGTGGTTGACCTGAACTAAACATAACCACAGGATGTGGGATCTTACGAATAGGGATCACGGGTTCTTATCTCCTAGGGATGAAATTGCACCTTGTTGAAGGATTCTCTGAAAACCCGGGACGTACGTCCTCAAAGTTTCGGGAAAGGGTCCTTTGGGATCCGAGGCTATCTCTTGGGTTGCTGACACACCGACGTATGCCTGTATATTTATTGTGCGGGTGCGTTTGTCAGAGGCGGGAAAGACGGCATCTGCATAGATCCAGCGCAGATCCAGCGCCAGTGACGCCAGGGTTACTTACCCGTACCCATACCAACGCAGGTCAATCGATGAGCGCGGAGGAAAGTATGCGCATCGGCAGCCGAGACGATGTATAAAAATATCAGAACTGGTGTGGAGCTTTATCACTTTAAGCCGCGTTGCTATTTCGCTCATATCGGTATTTGGGGTCTGTCTTCTTCGTAAAGCCCACCTTTCAACAGATGAGCCCACCATTTGTCATGCTATGAGTATACAGGGCCGATCGGGTGTTCATGCAGCTTAATAGCTGGCACTCATCGCCTACGTCTGAGCACTCGAAATGATCATGTCCGAACAAGTGGTGTGGGCTTCATCTGATGTCATTACTTTGCTGGCCGCTGAGTTTTCTCATCACTCCCGTGCCCAAACAGGACTATTGACAAACCACTGGCCAAATACATCAGCGACAGCTTACTGCACGGCCACGTCGCCCCACCCACCTCTCCCCCACCACTGCCCACACCACGCGCGCACACAGCACATCATCCCCGGTCCAATATCGGCGCGGCCGAACGCCGGGCGAGCGCCAGGTGGAACACAGGTGGGGTGGTGTGGGGCGCGCGCAGCTGAGGTCGACTTCGCGCCGGCTGCGGGGTGTAAGCGGTGCCTGCCACCGCCTGGCCAGCTGAGCAAACGGTGTTGAGGCTGGCTGGGTTAGTTGGACATACAGTGGCATCGTCATTACAGCTGTGATCAGAGCTGTCCGGACAGTGTCCGGACTGTTAAGCCCAGCACGCCGCCTGCCACTTTTGTCCAGAGTGTTCCTGCCACTCAGACACAAGCTACCCGTCCACACTCGTGTACTTAGTTTGGTACATGGACGCCCAGCCGCCCGTCGCCTAATTTATCGCATGGTCCATTTGTCACTCTTGGTTATCACTTCTATCATTCTTCTATCAATAGAATGGTCCCAGGGTTATTTAACTTTCCGTGGTATTAGGATCACTACCACGGATTGGGATTTTTTCGAACTTACACTTCCGCGATAGTGAATCACGGCCAGACCTAAAACTCGCCCGAAAACAAACATTCACTTTTCGTTTGCCATGACCTAGTCAATTGAACTGGGTTTTCGTCACTGTACACTTACAAAGTGTAGGTACCTGTGCGGTATTGTGCATAAATGATAGATTTAGGGTGATGCATGGAGTGGATTCCGTACAACGCGCACCTCCTTGCACGGTCTGACAGTGGAGATTCCTACGATCTCCCCCTCACCCGCTCTTTGGAGCAGACCTTTCTGCGGCTCTGCCACTCACCTGGTCTATGGAGCGGGCTTTCCTGCGCCGCTGCTCCTCTTCCAGCCGCTCCACGCAGTCGCGCAGCTCCTCCATCTCGTCTTTGGCGCTCTGCAGCTGATCGATCTCGTGTCGGATCATGTGCACGTCCTTCCTCACCTCCGTCACCTGCGGATGAGCGCCAGAGATGCCACCCGCGCTCCGCGGAGCAGCGCCTGGTTTGCCGCGCTGGCAACAGCGCGCTCCTCCCGGTGGACGGTCACCACGAAGCCGTCTGCAATTAAGCCCGAAGTTTCACGTCTGATCAGTGCTGGCAATTAGGTGGTGCGGTGGGCGGGCTCGATCCGGCCAGCCCATTTGAAACTTCAGGTTCACAGGGCTCCCAGTAGTTGTCGGTGACAAGGTGCCCGGCTTCGCTAATTATAATGCCGCATCATTCTGGGTCAAGGTCTGGGGATATGAAATTCTAACATTCGGAGCATCAGCGGCTTAGACTCATGTAAGGATCAGCACCATTAGGACATACCTTACCCGAACTGTCTTCACGGCCTGCTGGTGGACGTTCGCACATTGTAAACTCATGCAATTGAGGTGGTACGTGGCAATGCTATAAAAATGTAAGGTTGCGTGACAAGTAATTTGGAGCCGCTTAACGGGCCGCACGGTGCTAATTACATGTATTGTTCCAAAGACTTAGGTAACGCACGATGTATATTTGTACGGCTCGTTCCGGCTTACAAACGTGGAAAGAGAGCTGAAAAACGACATTAACGATCGTCTCTGGTCGGAGAGAAGGAGGGTGAGAGATAGCGAGCGAGCGAGCGAGCGAGAGAGAGAGAGAGAGAGAGAGAGAGAGAGAGAGAGAGAGAGAGAGAGAGAGAGAGAGAGAGAAGAGAGAGATGAGAAGAGAGAGAGAGGAGAGAGAAGAGAGAGAGAGAGAGAGAGCAGAGAGAGAGAGAGGAGAGAGAGAGAGAGAGAGAGAGAGAGAGGAGAGAGAGAGAGAGAGAGGGAGAGAGAGAGAAGAAGGAGAGAGGAGAGAAAGAGAGAGAGAGAGAGGCTGACCTCCGTTTGGCACGACACCACCGAGCTGGTGAGGTCCCTGAGCTGTGACCGGATGACCTTTAGTTGGGCGCTGGTCTCCATGTAGCGATCCGCTTGGATGCTGTCCAGCTTGGCCGAGAGATTGCGGGACATAGTCGTGACCTGCTTCTGCAGGCTGCCGGCAAAGGTTAGCGCCTTTAGTGTCCACCTTGTATGCATGTTCTGTGCCGGAGAGGTATCTCCGGCTCTGACGCACAAAACTGGGCGAGCCTATGCGTTTCTGGAAGGGCTATGAACATTTTGATGATAATTCCGCCTCATTATTAATGATGAACGCCCCTTAACAATTGGGAAGTCCGTCAGGTCAATGGAAATGCTTAAAATCTGGAAGGTGTTGCATGTTTCCCCTTTATAGAGAATGTTCTACTCATGGGAAATATAAAAGCAAACAGCAAACTTTGCGTAAGTTGTTCAGTGCATTTGTGAGGAACATCATGCACATAAATAGGGCAGTAGTGAAAGCCTTATTCCTCGAAGAAAAAACAGGAGAATGGAGGTATAGGTGCGTTGATATTTCGACAACATAGCTCTATCAAAACGAATAGCAGAAGTGAATTCCACTTCACTTGTGAAGTAGAAATCATTCGAACTGGAATTCCACTTCCAGTGGATTCACTTCTACACGTTTCGATAAAGGCATGTTGTCGAAACATTAGCACATCTATGCCTCTATTCCCCTGTTTTTTTCTTCGAGCAATAAGCCTGTTGCTACTGTGTTATCTATAAGTGTCAAAGATGATAAATAGGCTCAGTTAAAACTATTTGTATCGTAATCAGTAAAAAGTACGGCTTTAGACAACAAAATTTCTCCATTTAGTAAATATACTTATCAATACGTGATTGTTTGATTGCGTCACAGAACGTTTGCATGACGTTGAGGTGGCGTTTTTAAAACATTGATGTGGTTAAGCATTGCCGCCTGAAAATACACCACAGACGTAGTGCAAACAATCTAAGACTACTGCCTGCCACTGTACGGCTTCATTACGCAGGCACAAGGTCAACAGCAGACCCCATCGGTCAAATAGCTCTGTGAAATCATCGCCGGCTCTCAAGCTGGAAAACGACCGAGCACATGGCGTAGTTTCGCAAAATAATTTGGAAGGAGAGGCTGAGCAGCGAAAAATGACTCAACCTGCCTCAAAGAAAAAGACTAGCAAACGGGTTCCTCTCCAGTTTTGGACCTTTCTCCTCTCGAAGGTATGACAGCTGGACTCCAAGTTGGGTTGGGGGTTGGGGGAGAGGGGCTAAATAGGACTATGCCTCTGAAAGTCTGCAAAAATAAATTCGCACCTTCAAAGATTAGACTATTGTGTATCTTTGCTACAATTTTAAAGTTTTCCTCTGCACACGTTAACAGCTACGGAAGTACGAAAAATACAGATTCTACCGTAACTCCTCCAGCTCAATCAAAAGGCTCCAGCACAACTTCGCAGTGCTGTGTAAAGGCTGGTCCGTTCTTTTATTAACGTAAAAATCACGCAGGCGAAACATTCGCCCGGACGTCCTTCTAAATATACCAAATGATGTCATGACGGCCTTGAAAGATGCTTCTTTCAGATCCGTCATCATTTTTGTCCATCCCTTGGCCGCCGCTGAGTGTTAGCCCCGGGATCAGGGCGGGACCGATGCCGCGCGGTCTATGGAGATCGACTGCAGTACTGGATGCGGATGTTTTCGTTGCTAAGATTCGCGAGCATACCTGTCCAAAATCACGCCACACAGTTTTGTACCGATTAAATGAACGTTGAATATCTCAATTTTTACCCTTTTTGAGCAGGGTTTTTCACTATCAGGGTGCCGTTTATCAACCACTTAGCCCCGAATAGCGGATCCAGAGAGCCGACGGGTTCGTGCCCCCCCCCCCCCTCCCAAAGATCGTGGCAGCATGATTTCCCCCACCCCTAAAAAACTGCACGACGTATACTATTATGCGCATGCTACGTCACGTTTCCAGCAATTTATTGGGCAGGTTTCTCGTTTTGTTTCTGCTGGGAGAGACAACTGTGCCAACAGTCAACGCGTACCCGCAGCTTTCGACGGTTGTGGATGTAACCGAAGGTTCTAGAGCAAAAGGCTACGGAGACGTGACGTCACCATGAAACTAAAGGTCGGTAGCCCGTAATGCTTTTTGGTTGATACTACGAAGAGGTTTGGTGACATACTAGCAACATGATTAAAAACGGAGATTTTGCCAATGAACTGGGTGCTTATTTCAATGTTAGGTGCATAGAAATTGTGCATTTTGCATTTAAAATATTCTTAAGACAAATCAATGCTAACATCTGCTTCCAGAAATGGTTACTGCTAAACCACGCTTTCTTGCCCCAGTATCCGTCCCATAGTCGTCGTAGTCAGCGCACCTGATTATTTATACGTAATGCCTTTTTGCAACGTGAATATCTATATGTAAATAGATACACATTATATGCAAGGCTTATATTAGATATATAAATGGGCAATCAGTGTTCGTTCATCTTCGCACTGCAGTACCTATATGGAGTGAATTGTGAAAATAAGGGAATGTGAGGACGGCGGGTGCCAAGAATTTCGCTGTTGCTGTCACATGATCTTCCCAGGCGTTGCAGACCCACACTGTTGGATGGGTTAGGTGAAAAAGGTGAGCAGGAAATACTGCCTCGACTTCCCTTATATATACCTAAGACTATTTCCGAGTTGAGATATGGGCCGCGATACTCTGACTGGCGGAAATTGCAAAATTTGCCAGAAATTGTCCCATTTTACAGGAAAATCTGTCATCTTGAACTGAAAGGCGCACGCTGCATTTACGCCTCCCGGAACTCACCACCCACTACCCCCATTAAGGCAGGCCATCCCTGTATCCACCCTGGCAACGCTCCTCCTCAGGCTACAGGAGGTGCATTCCAACTTCTCACTGGGTGCCCCAGGGTGTTGCGAGCCCGTCTGGCGCGCCGTTTCTCATCCCCACCCGATGCTGTTGTTGTGGTTGTATGCCTATGTTTTACTCCTTGACACAGACTGTTTCTAAGCACTTCCGGCTACAGTTCTTTGGAATAAATCTCTGGTCAATGGGCTAACCCATCTCCCTATCGGGGAAGAGGCTGGAAGAGCATTTCAGGAACACTTTTGCAGCTCTGGTGCAAACCAACGCCATTTCCCGGCTGAAAATGCTTCAATGTATGTGCTTTGTCGGAAAAAATTCGGTCTATGGAAATATTTACTCTTCAGCCAGCCCGCAGAAACAACGTATTCACGCCGCCGTAGCGATGGTGCCATATGATTTAGTCCTATCATGACGCCACGGCGTGGCCTACCCAGGATGCAGTAATGCTCGGCCTGGGTGTACATGAGTAGTTCATTGCTGGTCGATGGTCAACCCGCTATTATATTGACATTTTGAGAGGTGATTTAGCCCGTCAGTCTGATGACTGGGTCCCCCAGTAACCCGTTAACTTCATCATCACACCCAGCCTACCGGTCACAGATCGTCCTGCTCCCCGCGCACAGCCGTTCCACGCGCGACATAACAACGAAAGCCCGAGCCACCTCCCCGGGATCGTGACATATATATATATATATATATATATATATATATATATATAGATATATACGTTGCATGTGTGTGTGTGTGTGTGTGTGTGTGTGTGTGTGTGTGTGTGTGTGGTGTGTGTGTGGTGTGTGTGTGTGTGTGTGTGTGGTGTGTGTGTGTGTGTGTGTGTGTGTGTGTGTGTGTGTGTGTGGTGTGTGTGTGTGTGTGTGTATGTGCATGCCTGGGTGTGGGTGTGAGAACCGTTTGGTGTTTTAAATAACATTCTACAAGAACGGATTGCCCCCCCCCCAACCAACCAAAGTCTAGATCCGCCCCTGCACCCCCCCCCCCCCAACTGTTGCCAAAGTTCTGGATGCGCCCCTGCAGTGCACGTAAATCAGAACATTCACCTGAGATGAAATGCCACATTGTCACCTGCCCACAATTTCGAAAAGTGAGAGGCTCAAAGCCGGACGGGGACTCGTTTGTATATGTTTTTGGGGTCAGGGTTAGTATAATTTTTTGCTGTTCAGCCCATCCTCGTAACTCAACTTGGGAATGTACGTCCTTATGCTTGGCCATTTTGCAGCTTAACAGCCGGTGATGATTTTAAGAATCTGATCGACCTATCAGACCTGCTGGTGACGTCGTGCCCGCGTACGCGCAGTCCGTAATCTACCAATAGTCTGGCAGGCAGTAGTTTTAGATTGTTCGCACTACACCTGTGGTGTATTTTCAGGCGGTCATGTGCGATTGATCAATGTTTTAACATACGCGTTGAGGTGCTGCCATCCTAGCACTCACTTATAGTACTCCAAACTCAACGAGAGATGGCAGCACGGTGCTGGGAATGTTCGCTAAGCCAAATATCGTTATGTGCTCGTGTTTTGGTCCTTTCTCATAGCGTTCTTGCAAATGCACCCGGGCGCTTAAGAATTACGCAAGTAATTATGTGCATTTGCGGGGAACATTCTTCATATCAATAATACCGTGCTGTCAGTACAAAGTGAAAAATTTTCGGTTTGAATTTTAAATCTACTGCTCCTGTTCCTTTCAATAAAGGCATGTAGCCGAAATATTTATGCATCTATATCTTCTTTTCTCCTGGTTATTTTATGAGGAATTAGACTAGCAGTACTGTCTTGTCTATGTGAGCTTAATGGGTTTACTTATGCTCACATACTCGGTTGTGACACTTCTTAAGTGTTCGATTACAGCCTCCTTCCCGTAGTAACTAGGAAGAATGTCCAAATAAATGTGTGATGTACCTCAAAACATGAGACGTGATTGAAACTTGCACGGATTGTTCAATGTTGTTACAACCGACTGACGCCCACAATGCTTTAACATCATGCTCACGTGCACCAGATCAAAATGGCGCTACGATAATATTACTTTTGGCCTTGAACGTTGTATAGCTTGTGGGGTCGCAGAATTTCGGTGACATTGCTACGTCGTTCTGTGCTTGGATCGCCTCGAAGAAATCTACGAAACATAGTCTGCACATCTTTGAGGGCGTGTAGCTCAGAAGGAAAAGGGTGTTAGGTGTTAAGAAGGACATGCTGAAAACTGCACCGAATGATGTTCAAAATGACTATTTCGGC